AGCCCACAAGTGGTGACTTTGAAGAATAGGAATTCAATTCCTTAGTTTTGGGAGACAAGGGGCCTGGATTTAGGGTCCTGACCCTGTGTTGTCCCTTTGTGGGCCTCTCTCCTAGAGTCTGCTGTCTGTCAGTCCCTAGTGGCCCTTTGCTCTTTGGTGCCTGTCCACCCCCTGGGCTCTCAGCATCTAGTCTGTCTTTTGTGTAAGACACCACACCGAAGGAATTAGGTTTAGGACCCACCTTGCTCTGGTATGGCTTCATATACACGACAGAAGAATAGCCCTGTCTCGAAGCAGGGTTAATGCAGGCACAGGAGTGCGAACCTCACGTAAGTCTTGAGTGGAGCGGCCCCCTCCGCTCCCCAATGTATCAGTCCTCTCTTATGTTGACGCTAACATTTTATAAAGGACTCCACTGATAAGAGTTGTACGAGCCCCCAATAAAACAATTAAAAAACAAACAAAAGAAAACCTCAAGCCTCGAGCGTGACAATGACAGATTCTATGTGCAAAATTCTGAATGAGGCAGGAAACATCAAAAGATGGAAAGAATACGCAGGGTCCGTATACCAAGAACCCGTTGACATCCTGCCATTTCAGGAGGTAGCATCTGAGCAGGGACCCATGGGACTGAAAGAAGTTCAGCTGCACTGAAAGCATTAACCAGGAAGAAAAAGACAGACAGACAGAGAAAGGCTCCAGGAATTGATGGAATACCAATGTTTCCACAAGCTGATGAAGCCCTGGAAGCACTCACTCATCTGTGCCAAGACATTCTGAAGACAGCTGCTGGGCCAACTGACTAGAAGAGATCCATATTCGTACCCATTGCATAGAGAGGCACAGGAAGGCACTAATTTGTAATTATGCAGGATTTCTGACCTCCCATGGCATTTCCCTGAGGTTTTAAAAAATCATCAAACAATTATGGCAATGCTTGAAAAACAGGAAAACCAACAAAGTGAAGCGTATCTCAGCCCCACCATCCACAGCCCACCCTCAGACCAGACACTTCCTGGGGCTGTCCCGTGTCCGGGAGCGTTCTCTTTACAATCAGGGAGTATGAACACAGCTTTGTAACCCATTTCCCACCAAATGTCCAACAAGAGTCCTTCCAAAACACAAACAGCTCTGCAGTATGATTTGATGGCTGCATCGTTCCTGGTACCCACACATCCCGACTGAGCGGGCGTTCTACCCCCTTGAGATGTCAGCCTCGGAAACGCACAGGGGCAGCTCTGCCCTGTCCTATAGGGCTCTCTGAGCTGGCATTGGCTCGATGGCTGTCTTTATCCGATGTAGCCTGTCAGCCACAGCGGGTGTCAAGGTTCTTTTCCAGGGTCCCCTTGCTCACGTGACCTGGACTTTCACTTAACTGTGACAACTCACCTAAGCTTTTACCATTGTCCCTTTAGAGCTGGCGGCACACTCTGGGAAGCTGTGTAATTTCCTCTGCTGCCAGCCTCCCAGCCCAGCCCCTCCCCCAGCCTGCCATACACACAATTCATGCGACCGTGCTGCACTATTGCCACGGGTCCAGTGCCAGTGGCCGTTGGGTCAGCGTGGCAGTGCGCTCCATGAGGTGTACAGGGGCTTCTTCAGAAGCAGGTCGCCAGACCTCTCTTTCGAGGTGCCTCTGGGTACACTTGAACCTGTAACCTTTTAGCTGGCAGCTGAGCATGTACGTCATTGGAACCCTCAGGCCGGCAGCTATCATGACCAGAGCCCATTCATGCTACACAACGCGTGCTTTAACGTGTCTGTGTGGCCAGAGGGAGGCTGAGACGGGCTCTCTCGGTCAAACTTTGGCTCTGTCTGCATCACAGCAAGGCCCCAACAGAGCACTGGCTTCCAAGGGATCTGCTGGCCGGTGAAACCCAAGGCCGAGAGGTCGGCTGGGTGGTGTGTGTGTGTGCTACAAAGCTTGTTTTGGTGGATGTCAAAAGGGCATCTTCAACAATTTTTCTCAAAGGATGCAGGATGATCATAGGGGCTTGTGAGAAAAAAATTCTTTTAAATGGGAAACTGCATCGGTGAGACAAAAAAAACCAAGGCCCTGGGGCATTGTGCCCCTCGCGACACTGCGCCTGCTCCTTGACAAAGGGCCCGTCCACCTAATTCCCATGTCCTCTATCACCCCGCTCTTCCCCTTTGAGATTTATTTTACTTCCCAAACTCAGAGGACACTGGAAAAGAACACCATCGGAGTGTCCCAAGGCTGCTAATCTGTGTGCGGTGTGTCACCAGGTCCCCCTGGGAGCAGGGCAGGAGAGGCCGGGACTCAGCCCTCAGAGTGCAGAACTAGATGGGTCAAGAAGCAAGAGCTTTGCATTGTGCTTACCTTTCTGCTTCACAAAGGGTTCTAAGAGTTTGTAGCCCTACTTTTTGACTTACCCACGTACCCTTGGTGTAAGGGACTGGGGTGGCCCTGTGAGCAGCAGCGTTGGGGGTGGTGAGGAGCTAGGGTGACACAGACATGGAGACGACCTGGCGTGGGTGGCTGGAGTCACAGTTGAGGGCAGGATCAGACAGAGGAACCTGTAGCTCCCTTAGCTGGCCTCTGCCGTAAGGCCACACAGCCCCCAAAGCCTCCTTTCCCAACCCCATTGGCCGGGCCCTGTCCCAGGCCTGCCTGGGAAGAGGCAGACTCTGGAGAGAGCAAGGACATCGGGGACACAGCAGTAGTGAAACAAGGTGTTTTTATTGACAGCGTCTCCGCCCTGTCTACATGTGACAGTCTCATGCTCGGTCTGGCTGGTCTCGTGTGGAGGCGGCTCATGCAGGCGGCGCGGTGTATATACACACATGTACAGACAGAGACACGGAGCACAGCTGCTTCATGACAAGTTCCCCGGTGGGGTCAATTCATAGAAAACGTTCAGATTCTAAAACCAAGTTACAGGGCGCGTAACCGAAAGGCCTGGAAAGCCAATCCCTCGGGCGGCTCCCTTCAAGTTCTGTAAACTGTGCTTGTCCTCCTCATGTGCATGTCCCCAAGAGCTGCCGCCAGCTCTTCCCCAAGCCCCCCGCCCCGCCCCACCCCCAGCCACCTGCAGAGGGGCAGGCCAGACCTGAGAAAGCGAACACACCCTGAAACCACCGAGGGGCCAGTGCACCCACCTCCACTTACTCCTGCCCCAGGAGAGCAGTTTCCCCAATCCCGCAGCCCAGCCTCGGGAGCAGGACGGACCGGGCACCTCATACCTGCAGGGGGAGCTGCCACATGACGGTGGAGGGGACAGGGACACACACTCAACACGGAGCCTGCCCTGCTCAGTCTGGGACCGACATAGGACGAGACAGGGAGGGATGCTCTAACCCGCAGAGTTCACAGGTAGAAAGTGGTGAGTTTATGTCTCTTGGATCACCGAAGCAATGGTGGGCACACCTGTGTGTGTGACATAGTTCTAGAAAGGGAAATGGTCCCCCATGGGTCCTGTTTCCTTTCTGAATGGGGGAAGAGAGCACAGCCCGCCTGGCTGGCTCCGCTACTTCCTCCATCTGCCCTGTCTCTCCCCCGGGCACAGGGCTGGGCCCCCAGCCCGAACACGCCCGCTGGCAGGGAGCGTCGGCTGTAAAGTCGGTTCATGAGTGAGCAAGAGTGAATTCTAGACCAACGACGATCTTGAGAGATGTGGAACTGTACATTGAAGAACGAGTGCTTTTAACTAACAACTCTCCCACCCACCCCACCCCAAGCTTGGACTGGTACCTCAGAGTGAAAGCCTGGGGGTGAGAGCTGCGCTCTTTGTCCCGCGGTGGGCCTGGGCCTCATCTGCTCCCAGCCAGGAAGCCCTGCCAGGTGAGAAGCACCACGGGCACCTGACACTTCCTGAACCTGCTGACCTTCCTGGCCCACCTGTGGTCCTGCTCCCGGCCACCCAGAGGGGCCTCTGGGGACTGCTGAGGAAGGCGGGGGTCCACATGCTCCTGGTCTAGCTGAAGCAGCAAGACAACAGGCAATCCTCCCGGCTCATTTGTTCAGATGCCCTCAACCTTGTTTCCTCAAGAAGTAAAGTTCTCAGTCCTGTCAGATTCCCACAGACCCCAACCTCCTGGTAAGGGGAGAGTGTGCACAGGGGCGCCCCAACACTATGGCCTGTCAGTGTCCTCCATGTCCAGCTGGTCCCCGGGCAGACCCGAGGGGAGGGGCTGCCCTATTGCTGACCCAGATAAGCTGCTCCAGCTGCACCATCCCAGGCCTGCCCCTCAGCACACTGCCTGCCTCTCCCAGCTGCCCAGTGGGGCCGCGGAGAAGGAAGGGGGCCTCACAGGCAGTGGTCCCTCAGAGGGGTGCTTGACAAGGCTCCCCCTTCCCAGGTGGGATGACATGCTCCTGCCCACAGCTCCCCCAGGGTGGGGGGTTGGGGCCCAGTGGTGTGTGCACACAGTCTATTTCCACTGGACTCCCCAGATAAAACCCATACATATAGATATATATTAAAAACTAAGTCCATCTCCCATCCCATTACAAAAAATATGATCTCATAGAGAGGAGTAAAAACACATGCCTGCAAGGCCTCCCCACCCCCGCCTGTGGGGAGCCCACCCGCACAGGCCGGTGCCTCAGGCCCCAGCACCAAGGTGGAGGGGCTGCTGGTTAGAGCAGATGTGGGCTGGCTGGGGTCCCCAGCCGGCAGTGTCAGGGTGCCTGGGTCCACATGGGCAGAGGTTCAGATGTATCCTCAGGGCCAGGCCATGATGGTGACCAGGGGTTGCTCTGCCTGGCCCTTCCCTAGGACAGGGCAGTACCCCACCCTGTGGGTGGCAGCAGGCCAGCTCAACCCCAGAACCACACCCTTAGGTGGCAAACACAGCCAGCAGGGCCCCTTCTCCATGGCTTCTCTCTAAACCTGAGTGGGGGCAATAGATGAGGCGGTCTCCCCCAGAGGCGGGGGTGGGTCCTTCTGTGGGGCGTCCAGTGTGCAGTGGGTACCCCACCGCCACCCCTTCCTTGTCCCTAGTCACCACCGAAGCTCCACACAGGCCCAGTGTCACCATGCCGAGGGCCTCTGGTTGGCCCTGCCCGGTGGCATGCAACTCACACGCCTCCATGCCTGGACCCTCTGGCTTTTCAAACGCGTCTTTGACGAGGTCAAACAGAGAGTTTAAAACCATGCCTTCAGTGGTGTGTCCCAAGAAGGGCCGCCTGCTCGCTGACTAGCGCTCCTTCTCGTAAAGCTCTTTGGGCAGCTGCTCGTGTCCATGATGCGTGGCCAGCGGATCCCTGGATGGGCCTTCGCCTTTGATTATTTGGAAGTAAAGCAGGTGAATGTCTCCAAGGTACAATCCGATGAGGGGCACAGAAGCTTCTAGACAGGGCTGGAGGTTACGAGGGTCTGGCGCCCGGCTGTGCCAAATGAGGTCCCAGGGTCAGGTGCCATCCTGGGCGTTTCCCGGGACAGGTCTATACAGCCTACAGGACAACTAACCCAGTGAGTACCTAGGGGGACAGGGACTGACCTTGGACACGGGTGATGAGTCTTCTAGGTTGCTACTCCCTACTGCTAGTGCCAACCCTCCTCCACCTGTACACACTTGTTTTGTTTTGAGATTAAAATAATGCAGCGGGGACTGACCTGGCATAATTACTTCTTATTTGATAAACCACATTCCTAGCTTTGAATAAGTTATTTATTCAAGGGTTTCACACAAAGTAATTCCTATTTTCCTAAGTGTAAGGAAGCCCTACTCAGTAGAACTCGGTTTCTAAACATAAACTAAGAACAAAGCGGCCACTGGGCGATTCCAAAGGGGAGGTTCTGCTAGGGAGGGGCAGGGAGGGCACCAGAGCCTGTGGCAGAGCACTGTGCCCTGCAGGCTCAGGTGGGAAGGGCTGGACCCAATGTCCCCCTGCACTACCCCACTGGGTTCGGTGTGAGATGCCGGGTGAGGGTGCCAACCCTGATGCCCCCGGTATGTCACGTCCTGCAGGGTCAGGTGTGAGACGCCGGACCCCGACTCAGGCGCCTGGCACCCCCCGACCCTTGTGGGGTCAGGGGGTGAGTGAGAACTGGTCCTGCTCTGTGGGCTTCTCCACCCAGGCCCCAAGCCCCGCCTTGATGAAGGCTCGGAGCAGACACTCCTTGGCCGCCTGGTACTCCTTGGCCACCAGCTTGGACTCGTGGTATGCATTGGGCTTCGTGATCTTGGAGCGCATTAAGCTTGTGGGAACCTGCCGGAGAAGGAGAGAGAATTGCAGCTGCTTAAGCAGTTAACTGCAGCACGCGAAACCACACTGAGTGAGACATTCAAACAGTGACGTGTAGGGCTGGGGGTCAATGCCACATAAAACATCATGGAGCCCCTCTCTCTTTTAATTCATCACCTCCAAGCAGCACGGTGAGGTGAGCACCCTAGAGGTATGGTGGATGCTAGCCCAAGAGTCCGCCGCTGAAGCTCCTCAGGAGCCGGAGGAGGCAGAGAGCTTTCAGTGTGAGCGGCAGTCCCGGAGACCCTACGGAAGAGTTCGACTCTGTCCTACAGGGTTGCTACCATTGGAACTGACACACAGCTTTGGCATGTTTGATCTGGTCTTGAGAGGCGCTCTGGGACGTGCTCCACGGTTGGTGTGAATTCCATGGCTTATGCTATCACTGCTAAACGCATCCCCATGTGCACCACCAGTGTGTGCACATGCTGTCACACCCAAATGTGGCTGGCTGGCGCACTTTCTCGGACTTGCAGGAGGACATGCGGGACTGCACCATGGTGACAGGACTCCGCCGTGGGCTGCCGTGGCCACAGAGGAGGCCACGGGAGAAGAGCTCCCCTTGCCACTTTGGGGGGCCATGGGAGGGCATAGGCCAGCACAGGGAGCCTGGAACAAGGGTCATGACCCCACGTGGGTTGGGTCCTCAGTGTGCTACGGCCCCACCCCTTCCCCTGCCCCAGTGGCCAGCCTGGCTTCACTTGATCCTGCGTCACAATGTGACAGGGCCCTGCTGTTAAAAAGGTGTGCTTGACACAGTGGATGTATGCACGGATTGTGTTGACTTGTACGACCCCCTAATAAAATGATTAAAAAAAGACAAAGCATAACCATGCCTATATGTCATAATAAAACAATAGTAAAAAACAAATAATATATTGAGTATCAAAAACTATGACTGAACTGTTAAATTGTATGATGTGAGTTACATGCCAATAAAGTTATTTTTAAAATTAAAAAAAAAAAAAGGTCTCCAACCTTGCCCAGAGGGCTTTCGGGAGAACCGTAGAAGTGTGCGTTCACCCCAGCTGCGTGGCAGAGGCTGCGCTCTGGGCGGGGCTTGTGAGATGGGGGCTCAAGGCCGGAAGTGCCAGGGCCAGCTTCTATTCCAAGAGCCCCCAGAAACGGCAAGGTTTCAGGGGGCCGCTTTAGTTCTTTGCTAAGGGCGGTTTAAGGGGCGGCAGGGCGCACAGCAGACCGCTGCCGGGCGGGGGCGGGCCGGGGGGCCCAGTACCTGGCCGTGGACGCGCATCCAGCGACAGTACAAGGCGTGCTTACACAGGCGGGACGGACGCCCCAGCTCGTCCTTCCCGGTCGTGGCGTTGATGACCTCGATGGCCGAGTCGCCCACCGTCCAGTTGACGCTGAAGTTGGGTGCTTTCCCTGGCTGCCGTGCCTCCGCATTGCTGATGCCTGGGGCAGAGCAGACAGCGAGTGAGGCCATGCTGGCAGGCGCAGGGCTGGGGACCCGCCTTGAGGACCTGAACTGTGCCCCACGGCCCCCCCCCCCAATGTGTCAGGATCTCAAGGCTTGTGGATGTGACCCTGTGTGGAAATGCGTTTTGTAACGTTAACGAGGCCATACATGAACAAGTGGGCTCTAGGTCTAATCACTTCTGCGCAGCAGGGAGACAGGTGGGGGTGGGGAACAGACGCCATGGGAGGGCTGTGCAGATGCCAAGGAAAGAGGAAGGGGGTAGGGGCTACCCTCTAGGAATGCGAGACCTGCCGAGAGGGCTTCTAGCCTCCTGAAGTGGGGGGCAGTATGTGCTGTTGTTTAAGGGCACTACCGCAGGGTGATGAGTGTCCCATGGAGACGAAGCAGTGCTCCTGTGCCTGCCCCAAGTGCAGCTGAGAAAGGCAGTGTGGGACATGGACCGTGCGTCCCTAGAGGCTGTGTCGGCCACCTGAGGCTCCTTTGCCACATGGTGTGACAGAATCTCGGATGTGGAGACCTGACATTCCTTCCTGGCTGTCATCAAGCCACAAGCTCAGGTGGAATGTGGAAACGCAGGACGGTGGTCTTTGACATCAATTTGGGTGCCTACGATGCCACGCGGACCAGATTGTGTCTGGGTACAGTCAGCATCCATAGGGAATAAATATTCTATAACCGACAGAGCTGGCCATTCACTGGACTCTGACGATGGATTACAGTGCATGCGGCGGACACTTAAGAACAATGACGTTGGTTATGGGACCACTGCAGATTATAAAGTACGCATCCAGCCACAAAGATGACTTGTCAAAACACGTCACTAGCTTGATACGGTAACTACTTGTTACCGTGGCCACCTATGGAGTCTTCCTGAACACCACGGTGTGCACTGCAGCTACCTAGCAGTTGCTGTTGGCACTACTTGTTTTATATAATACTTCTAAAAGGCCAGTATAGAATTTGCCAATTACAGGAATTAGATTCAAGGTCAAGTAAGTTCCAGTCCGCAAATACTCAATAGTGCAAGTTAAAGAAATACAATCACCAAAGGTAAATAAGAAACTGGAGACTGTTCCGTAGTCCCCAGGCAGTGCAAACGGTGAGTGTGTTAGGTTGACAACCAAGAGTTTGAAGTCTCGAGTCTACCCAGAGGTGCCTTGGAAGAGAGGTCTGGTGACCCACAACCCCAAATCCAGTCACTGGAAACCCTGTGGAGTCTGGGGCTTGGAACTGACAGGATGCAAGCTAGTTTTTCACAGGTCAGTCTCCTTGTCTTTCCATCACGGGGCTGATGTGTTCCTATTGGCAAGTCCTCAGAGGCTGCCTCCGGTGAGGCCATGCATGTCCACCAGGACGTCCACAGGAATCCCAGTCTCTCGGTTTCAAGCAAAACCAAGCAATGGCGATTGCCCCTCGCCTCCTCTAGGCAGTCAATGGGGCTTCCAACGATCGAATGAGTTGTAATTCAGGGACCAGGAGGCTGCCCCGGGGCAGGTACTGTACTGCAGGGAAGTGTTGAGCTGGAGTGGAAGAGTCTGAATCACAGGACGGAATCACTGCTGTAAGACATGAGCCTTACCTGACTGTACCCACAGGTGTTACTGAAGCCTACCACACACAAACCTACGTGGAACTGACCATGTGACGAGGCTCACAAAGTGGACACAGTGTCCAGAAGCAGGGCGCATGGAGGCATGCATGCTGGCCCGCCCCCTCACCCCCCGCCCATCATCCCACTATCTCACACTCTCCCAAGGGGACCCACAATGCCGTTCTGCCCTCTCTGTAACTCGGGCAGATTCCGGAGTATTTCAGCCAAGACCACACTGTGTGCAGAGAGCCCTGCTCTGCTCCACCTCGTGGCTGCACCGGGCTCACTTCATGAACGTACCACAGGAGGCTTACCTACCGCATGGTTTCTATCTTTTGTTTTGAAAAAATTTTGTTTTGTTTTTGTTTCTATTGTTTTGAAGAATGCTGGTGTGAACGTGTGTTTTGGTAACATGTACCAGGAAGCTTCAGAGTGGATGAGAAAGGGAATGGAGAGATAACAGAATTTTCCTAGGAATTTTCTGAAGCCCTTGCATAGACATACTTCCTTTCACCATGGTTGTTCCATTTGGGTGCCAGTCAAGTAATCTAGGAGCTGCATGTATGAAGAGTATGGCATCCGGAGCCGAGGGCGTCTCGTTAAGCACCTGTCCACTCTCTGAGGTAGCAAAACCTCACTCCATCTTCCATACAGCCCTGATTTGGCCGCCTCAGATTTTTTCCCCCATTCCCTAAACTCAAAGAACATTGAAAAAGACACCATTTGATTTCCTTGAGGTTCCTCAAAAAGGAGGCCTGGCACCACAAGGTCAGCAGTTCAAAACCACCAGCTCTCCGAAGGAGACAGATGAGGCTGATGCTCCTATAAAGGTTTACAGCCTCAGAAACCTGCAGAGGCTGTGATGATCAGACTGGACTCCAGGGCAATGGGAGGGTGGGAGGGCCCTAAAACTGCTGTTTGATGGGGAGTGAATCAGAGACCACAGAATTCTTTGGGGATGGTTTAGAACAGCGGTTCGCAACCTGTGGGTCACAACCCCTTTGGGGGTCGAATGACCTGTTCACAGGGTCACCCAATTCATAACACTAGCAAAATTACAGTGATGAAATAACAATAAAAATAATTGTATGGTTGGGGGGGTCACCACAACATGAACTGTATTAATGGGTCTCGGCATTAGGAAGATTGAGAACTGCTGGTTTAGAGAGTTGGAAACATTGCCTTCAGAAATGTATAGACATAGATGAAGCATATTTTGAGAAACAGTAATTTCACATTTTTAATTTTTGTTTCATAAAAATTCCTATGATTTTGTGGTGGGCGATACTTTTTGTCTGCCCCCCTCCCTGCCCTCTGCAGTGTGTGTGTATGTGTTTAGAGGGAGAGAGGGAGGGAAGGAGAAAAGGAGGGAGGAAGGGAGAGCGTTAAAGGGAAGGAGGGAGAGAGGGAGGGAGGGGTCAAAGCAAACTACGGATAGTATCAAGAGGAATAGGAATTCCAGACATTTCATTGTGCTCATGTGGAACCTATACATGGATCAAGAGGGAGTCGTTTAAACAGAACAAGCAAGGCTTAAAATCAGGAAGATGTACTTTAGAAAGAGTAACAGAGTAATGGTTCCCTGAGGGAACAGGAAGTGGGGGGAGGAGGGAAAGGGGGAGTTGATAGCACTGAAGACTGTGTAACCCCACTCTAGGAGTGAACAACAGAATTGTACATGAATGGATATATGGGATGGTATAAGATGCCGCAAAAAAAGGGGAGGGGAGACATGGGGGAGGGAGGGGATAAAGGGGAACTGATATCAAGAAGTTCAAGGAGAAAAATGTTTTGAAACTGACTGTGGTAGCAATTGTACAGTACTACTTGGTGTGAGTGAATTACGGGATGTTATTTATGTAAGAGCTTCCAATATAATGATAAAAAGATAAATAAAGCAAAATTAAAGACCCCCTCAAAAAAAACCTTTAAAAAAATTAGGAAGATGTGTGCCAGGGTTGTATCCTCCCACCATACTGATTCAGTCTGTCTGTATGCAGAGCAAATAAGAAGCTGGACTGTATTAAGGAGAACGTGGCATGAGGGCTGGAGGAAGGTTTACTATACATCTGTGATGTGCAGGTGATACAACCTTGCTTGCTGAAAGTGGAGGATTTGAAGCACTTGCTGATGAAGATCAAGGATTGCAGCCTTTAATATGAATTACAACGCAATGGGGAAAAAACCCACACAAATCCTCCTGAGGAGCTGCTGGTGATTTTGAACTGCTGACCCTGCAGTGAGCAGCCTAACACACAACCACTACACCACCAGGGCTCCTGGTGAAGTGGAAGGGCTACTAAAGAGGATGACCTTTAAGGAGATGGATTGACACAGTGGCTGCAACAATGGCCTCAAGCATAACAATTTTGCAGATGACAGAGGACTGGGCGGTTGTTCGCTCTGTTCTTCATAGAGTCCCTATGGATTGGAAGCTACTCAATGACACCTAATTACAGATTGAAACACCACCTCACATTGAGAGAGAGAGAGAGAGAGAGAGAGAGAGAGACTTATATCAAGGAAATAGCTCATGTGGTAAAAGAAACTGGAAAGTCCCACACTTGTGGATCAGACATCAGGCTGCTGGCTCACAGACTATAGAGGCTACCAAACTCCAAGACTGGTAGGCAATAGGGCAGGTCACTAGTTCAAGTCCAAAGAACTGGCGGTCAGATGACAAGCCAGATTCAGGATACAGCTCAAGCAAGAAGCTTCACAGAAGGTCAAACCGCATAACGCTCAAATGACCGAGAATTATGGCCAAGTCAAGTTGACACACAACTATGTAATTCTTTTGACAAAAAATATTCATTGCAGAAAAATCTTCTGAATCCTTAAATATCTTAAAATTACCACTTTGTACTAAAGCTTGATTAATATTTGAATGCATATGAAATGATGTTATAAAAATATTTTCCCCCTCAGAATGGGGACGCCATTGCACCCCTGATTTCTGTCTTCCAGAGATTCTGGAAAATGTTATGTAAATCTGATATTCATTTTAGGTTTTTAGTGTAATTGTTTGCTTTTAAAAAGAAATAAACTTTTTTTTTTTTTTTAATGTAAGCAAGAGGCAAAAAGTAGTGTTAATTTCCCAATGTTTGGCTCATTCCCTCTCCCCACAAAAAGCCACCCGGCAAGCCTCCTGCCTTTCATTCTAAAAATACAAGCCAAGTATTGCTCGGTTGAAAACCTGAGCCAAGGGGGTGAGTTCCTCTCCAGGCCTGACGGGTCTATCCAGGAAGCCGAGTGTGTTCCATGATTCTGAGTTCGGCTTCTCTCTGGCGTCCTGGATTTTCATCAAGATGGGCTAGGCATGGATCTCCTCCATGTCCACCCACCTGGTCTGTAATACTTGTGATGGCTTAAATTTGAGCACGC